TGAAGCTCTTTTGAGGTAATTTGAGTTTAGTCTTGTTAGTTCATCTTGAATCGTCTTCATCCTGGTGATTTTATGTACTTCCTCTGTTGGTGTTAGTATTGGTAGATGGTAGGCTATTTTTAGTGCTCTGTTCTGCAATCTTTGTAAGTGACTTGTTGATGCGTTTGCCCACGAAGGTGATGCGTATGTGAATCCTGGTAGAATTGTTGATTGGTACAAAAACTTTAAGACTTTGGATTTGATGCCTTTGGCTCGTAGTACTAGTAGAAAATTGATTTTCCTTGTCGATTTGTCTTCAATTCTTTGTAGATAGTCTTTCCATGTCAGGTTGTTATTTAGGGTAACTCCAAGAAATTTAGTGGTTGTTGATGGTTCGATCTCTTCGTTCTGTAGCATTAATTTGCAGTCATTCTTCTTGCGTCTTGTAAAAAGTACAAAGTTTGTCTTCTCCGGGTTCACGTCTATCTTCCATTTCTGGCACCATGCTTCAAGTTTGTTTAGGCCACCTTGTAGTCTGTGTGTTGCATTCTTGCTTGTGTTTGAACTTGTGTAAATTGCTATGTCGTCGGCATATTGTGATATTGTTGTTAGACCTGCTTCTGGTTTGCTTACATAGATGTTGAAAAGGATTGGACTGATTACACTTCCTTGTGGTACTCCTGCACTGGGTGTGAAACTTTCGGCTTTGGCTTGGTGGTATACTACTGTTAACTGTCGGTCTGTCAGAAAACTCTTGGTCCATTTTACAATCCACTTCGGACAGTTGATCTCTAGTAGTCTGTAGTATAAGCCTTCGTGCCAGACAGAGTCAAAGGCTCGTTGCACGTCTAGAAATGCTGCTGCAACGGGTTGCTTCCAGTTATTCTCTTTATAGATTGTCTCTGTTAGACAGAGTAAATTGTCGGTGGTGCATCGTTTGCTTCGGTATGCACTTTGAAAGTGTCCGAAGATGTCGTGATCTTCGCAGTGTACTAGTAGCTGCTCTTTGACAAAACATTCGCAGATCTTCCCGATACAGCTTGTAAGTGAGAGTGGTCTATAGTTTTTGGGATCTTTGTGGTCTTTCTCGGGTTTTGGTAACATTGATACTGTCGCTTGTTTCCAGCCTAAAGGAACGTAGCCACTTCTCAGCGATTGTACTATGATTTGTCTTAGTACTTCTAGTACGTTGATGGGCAGGTTTTTCATCGCTTTGTAGCTAACTTTGTCTTGTCCTGGGGCAGTGTTTTTTCTGTGATTGATCACGTCTTTGAGTTGCTTTAAGCTAATTTCTGTTTGTGCAAAACCTGTCTGTTCCAGTTGAAAGTCTTGGATTTTCGCCTGTGACACCTTGTCATGTACTTCCTGTTCATGCGTTAGAGCTGCCTGAGAGTTTGTTATATTTGTCGTCATGTTTGCTTTGAGCATCTTAGCGAAGTGGTTCGCAGCGTCTTGATTTGTCATTTTCAGTTTACTCGTTCGTTTAGGTCTTGTGCCTGTGAGCTTTTTTACTGCTTTCCAGAAATTCTGTTGTGTTGGTCCTTTGTTCATTTCACTGAGTAGTTTGAGTTGGTTTTCTTCTTCTACTGTCTGTTTTAGCTGTCTGATGTCTTTCTTTGTTTTGTTTAGCTTTGTACACAGGTCTTTGTAGTCATTGGTGTCGTGTTGGTCATATCGTCTCATCTTTTGTTTTTGTCGTTCAAGTTTGTGTTTGTTTCTGACTAGTTCGACTAGTTGTGGGTTCGTGAATTGGGGCTTGTGTTCTTTGAGGCTGCCTTGGTAGCATTTGTCAATGTGTTTGGCTATCTGGTCAGCTTCTCGAGCTAGACCTTCGTCAGTTTTGATTGAGTCAGGGTTGAACTTGTAGTTCGTTACAGTACCTCTGAATTTTCGCCAGTTTGGTTTTGTGCATGTTCTCTTTGGAACAGTTAGTTCGTACTCTGCAATTGTCATGTAGTGATCGCTTGGTGTTGTGTCCGACACTTCAAAGTTCGTGCATAAGCAAGCCATTTTTGGTGATGCAAAGTGTAAGTCTAGGACTGAGTCACTTTGGTGTGTTGGTTCGGAACCGTTCAAGATGAAGTAGTTGTGCATGAGAGCGTCTACAACTCTTCCGTTGCTGTTGGTTGCTCTTGCTTTTGGGTTGACAGATTTGATCTGTGCGTTGAAGTCTCCAACGATGATGTGCTTTGGATCTTTTCCATTGAAAGTCACGTTCTCTATCTCTGCGTTTGGGCTAAGGTAAACACTTGTTACAGTGATACCCATTGTGTTGATCTTGATCGTCTCGCATACTTTTCTGCGTTCTCTGTGGTTTTGGTTTATGTGCTGTGCTTGTTCCAGTACTTGGTACTGTATGTTGTCTCTGATGTAAATTGCCGAGCCTGTGACACTGTCACAGATTGCCGCTGCAAGGTTAAAGTTTTGTAGTTTTGGTGGATGTTTGGTTTTTGTTTCGTTGAAGCAGACTATAGTGATGTTGTGTTTCGCTAGAAGATCTTGGATCTCCAGTTTGTGCTTGTTTATACTTCTGCAGTTGAGTTGTGCTATCTTGAGTCTATTCATTTTGGTTTGTTGTTGTTGTTTTGATTTCGGGAGCTACTATGTCTGCTGCTGCTTGCTTCTCTGTGTGTTTTTGTATTTTGTTTTGCTTTTATGTTTGATGTTAACAGCTCAGTGAAATCTATTTTCTCGAATTGAGTTCTAACTGCATTGCTGACTGTTTCGTTAATTTTCTCACATGATTTAGCGACAGCTTTGGTGATTGCATCGGTTATCTTTTCGTCCATGGCTTTTTGCACTGCTTTTTCGACTTGATCGGCTATTGTAGTTTCAACAGTTTCTTTAATGTACTGCTGTATGTCCTCTTTGCTCATGGTTGGTTGTGGTTTGACTGCTTGAGCGTAGTTGTTTTGCACAGTTCGTTGCAGATGTTTGACTGCTTGAGCGTAGTTTTGCACTTTTGGTTGTGCTTTTTGGGCTTCGACTTGAGCTGTCTTGTAAACCGGGCATCCTTTGTACTGCGCCGGGTGTTCGCCTCTGCAGTTGATGCATTGAACTTGCTGCTTTGGAGTTTTGCAGTCTCTGACTGCATGGTTGTCGCCACATCTGAGGCATCGTTGCTGGTTCGGACAGTTTACGGCCATATGGCCGAAATTTTGGCATTTGTAACACTGTGTTACTCGTGGTTCTGTTTTGGATGCTTCGCATCGTTTTCGTTCGTTGCAGATGTAGACCCCAATGTCGATTGCCTTTCTGCAGGCTAGGTCATCATCTGTGAAAACTCTGATGAGTTGTGTTGGCTTGTCTAGGCTTCTGCTTTGGATTCGGAAGAGCTTTGCTACCTTGATGTTGTTGATCTCCTCAAGTTCAGATTGGATGTCAGCTTCGCTGAGTTGTTCACTGACTCTTGAGATAACAAAGCTGGAAGTTTGTTTCTTGTTGGGTTGATTTGTCTTGTGTTGTCTGCCTCCGATTTTTACTTCCGTGTCGGGAAACAGGTTTTCGAGGTTGGTTTGGGTGATAATTTGGGCTATTTGAGGCGATTCAGGCTTGATTGAATAGCCTAGGCCAGTCTTGAGGTCCCTGGTTTGACCAGGATATTGTACTTTAGTCAGGTTACGTATTGATTTGGTGAAAGTCATTCGGCTTGGAATTTTGTCTTTTGCAAAGCTTATGTAGATAATGTTCGTGAAGTGTTGCTTTGAGCTTGTGAAGGGTCTTTTGTTGCTTTGAGCTTGTGATTCTTCCGCTTTGCGCTTTCGATTAGTTGCTTGACTTTGCTCCATTGTCGGTTGCCTTTTAGGCGAAGCGTCATCAAGATTGTCTTGCCAGTTTTCTGAATGCATTGTCGGTTGCCCTTTGGGCACATTCCTGAACTGTTGTCGTTTTACTGTGTTGTAAGCAGCATGTTGATCTTGGTTTGGTCCCATTGTCAGTTGCCTTTGAGGCGAGGCCTTTCCTTGATCATTGCTTGTTGGTGTCAGGCTTCCTTCGATTATTATTCGTTGTCGAGTTGTAGAAGCAGCAAAAAGCGAAGCTAACTTAAAAAACTGTGTTCAAATCGAGCTCGAAGAATGCTCAATTCTGATTGGCTCTCAGCTCCAAGCTTATTTTGGCTTCAATTTTTAATTTCTACGTCACTTTGAGGCTATTTAGGATTGCTAGGATGTCTCAGCTTACTGTTTGTATTCCAGTTAAGCTTGCTGGGCTTGATAGAAGATAGAACTAGTAGATTGGTGGCCTTTAAAAAGGCCGGTTTGGTGTTGAAGCTTGAAAGCTAGCAACTGGTTGAGGTAGAAGCTCTTTACTTCTTGTCAGACTTGGGCTGAGACGAAGACTGCTTCTTGGGTAGGAGCACAGCCTGGATGTTTGGCAGCACACCGCCCTGAGCAATGGTCACTCCGTGGAGCAGCTTGTTCAACTCTTCGTCGTTCCTGATGGCCAACTGCAAGTGTCTGGGGATGATCCTGGACTTCTTGTTGTCTTTGGCAGCGTTGCCAGCCAGCTCAAGGATCTCAGCAGTCAAGTACTCGAGCACAGCAGCAAGGTAGACTGGGGCTCCAGCACCAACTCGCTCAGCGTAGTTGCCCTTGCGGATGAATCGGTGGATTCTTCCAACAGGGAACTGCAGTCCAGCTCGGCTTGATCGGGTCTTGGCCTTGGCTCCAACTTTGCCGCTCTTCGATTTTCCTCCTTTGCCTGACATCGTGTTGTAGTTGTAGCTGTTGTGGTAGAAGTTGTAGATTGACGATTGACTTTACCCGCAATTTGGCTCCCTGTCTTAGGGTAGTAAGTTCAAATCGGCCACCAAGATGGGAGAGCCAATCAGAATCGAGCTAGCATTTTAAGTTATTTTAGATATGCTGAAAGCTCTACACTAACTAGCTGAGCTTGTTAAGAGCTCTAGCAGAGCTCGTTAGAGCTCTAGTAGAGCTTGACTTAAGAACTGAGATAGTTGGTGGCCTTTAAAAAGGCCGGTTTGGTGCTGCAGCTAGGAGAGCAGCTGGCTAAGAAGCTTCTTAACCTCCGAATCCGTACAAGGTCTTGCCTTGTCTCTTGAGGGCGTAGACGATGTCCATGGCTACAACGGTCTTCCTCTTGGCGTGCTCGGTGTAGGTTACAGCATCCCTGATCACGCTCTCCAAGTAGTTCTTGAGCACTCCTCGGGTCTCTTCGTAGATCAGTCCACTGATACGCTTGACACCTCCTCGTCGAGCAAGACGTCTGATGGCTGGCTTGGTGATGCCTTGGATGTTATCTCTTAAGATCTTTCGGTGCCTCTTTGCTCCTCCTTTGCCAAGTCCTTTTCCTCCCTTTCCTCGTCCAGACATGGTTGTTGCAGTTGTAGTTGTTGTAGAAATTGAAGTAGAAGTTGGGTTTGAGATTGGCAAAAATCGCTAGGTACCTATCAATTTCCGACCGACTTCTCTGCTCTCTGATTGGCCCTCATACCAACAGCCAATGAGAGAGCAGATAATAAAAAGTAAAAAAAGTTAGGCACGTAAAGGAGCAATTGAAAAAAATTTTTTCAGCTCCCACAAGAACTTCTACCTCAAACTGGTCAGTCCACAGAGCTTATCAGAGCTATGTGATTTAAATCAAGCTCGTAGGAGCTCGCTTGAGGTCTGTGAGATAGCTTGCCGAGCTCTGAGAGCTCGAACTTGAAAATAGTTAGGCTACGTACGGGAGCAATTGAAAAAATTTTGAGCTCACACAAGGTGTACTAGCTTAAACTGGTCAGTCCACAGAGCTTATTCGAGCTCTGTGATTTAAATCAAGCTCATACAAGCTTGCCTGAGCTCTATGAGGTAGCTTGCCAAGCTCTGAGAGCTCGAAGCTCAAAAAAGTTAGGCTACGTACGGGAGCAATTGAACAGCTAGCTCGAGCTCATTTTCCAGCTGCGTCACCCCAATGAGGGGGAAGCAGAGCTCAACCTATACCAGCTTGAGCTTGCTCTGGTCGAAGTTAGCTTGAGCTAAGCTCACTGTGAAGAAATATAGAACTGATAGTTGGGTGGCCTTTAAAAAGGCCGGTTTGGTTGGTGTGGAGTACACCTAGAGCTTAAGCTCGCTCTCCTCGGATTCGTCGAGCCAACTGGATGTCCTTGGGCATGATCGTGACTCTCTTGGCGTGGATCGCGCACAAGTTGGTGTCCTCGAACAGGCTGACCAAGTAGCTCTCGCTGGCTTCCTGCAGAGCCATGATTGCAGTGCTCTGGAACCGCAAGTCAGTCTTGAAGTCCTGGGCGATTTCTCTGACCAGTCGCTGGAAGGGCAGCTTTCGGATCAACAGCTCAGTGGACTTCTGGTATCTCCTGATCTCCCTCAGGGCAACGGTTCCTGGTCTGTATCGGTGAGGCTTCTTCACACCGCCGGTGGAAGGTGCGCTCTTTCTTGCAGCCTTGGTAGCCAGTTGCTTCCTGGGTGCCTTTCCTCCGGTACTCTTTCGTGCAGTCTGCTTCGTTCGGGCCATTCTTCGTCAGTTGAGTGTAGCTGAGTTGTAGATGTAGAAGTAGATTTTGGGTGTTGAATTTTGGACAAATCCGTGAGGTAACCAAGATATTCAGATCTCCAGAAGCCTTGAGAGCGCTCGACGTATAAAAAAATAGTTAGGCACGTAAAAGAGCAATAGAAGGAGAGCTCTGGTGAGTCGTTACTTATATATATTAAGGAGCATTTTCAACTATATATAGTAAAGTATGTGAAGTGCAGACTATTTATACTTGGATTGGAGGTTACCCGCCAAAAGCGGCATAGGTGATTGGCCCGTGTCTGAGTGATAGCGGAAGCTCAAACTAAGCTCGAATCTGATTGGCTGAGAAGTGAAAACTTGAAAATTTGGTGTTTCTGCCTCTAGAATTGACCCAAAGCTAACTTCAGCCAGCTAAAAGCTCACTTCAGCTTAAGCTAGCTGAATTGGACTTGTTAGCTAGCTTTGTAAGCCTAAACTTAGCTATTTCGAGCTGTAAGTTGGAGAGCAAAATGAAGCTCAAATCTGATTGGCTGAGACGTGAAAGCTTAAAATTTAGCAGTTTTTTAGCTCTAAAGTTGGTCTGGAGCTGATTTAAGCAAGTTACAAGCTCAGTTGAGCTTAGTAGCTCAAATTAGACGCTCAAAGCTAGCTGTTGAGAGCTCGAAATTGCATACAAGCCAATTTGAGCTTGCTAGCTAGAGTACAAAGAGAACTATGCTTTTTGGTGGCCTTTAAAAAGGCCGGTTTGGTGTTGCTCAGAGCAACTAGTTGTAGAAGCTGATCGTCTACTTGGAGCTGGTGTACTTGGTGACGGCCTTGGTTCCCTCACTGACAGCATGCTTGGCCAGCTCTCCGGGCAACAGCAGTCTGACTGCGGTTTGGATCTCCCGGCTAGAGATGGTTGATCGCTTGTTGTAGTGGGCCAGTTTTGAAGCTTCACCGGCGATTCTCTCGAAGATGTCGTTCACGAAGCTGTTCATGATCGACATAGCCTTGGATGAGATGCCGGTGTCAGGGTGGACCTGCTTCAGCACCTTGTAGATGTAGAGAGAGTAGGTCTCTCGCCTCTTCTTCTTCTTTTTCTTGTCTCCAGTGGGCTTCTTCTGGGCTTTGCCTGCCTTCTTGACTGCCTTTCCGCTGACTTTGGGTGCCATTGTAGAGTTGTAGTTGTGGTGTTGTCGAGTTGTAGAAGCAGTGTAAGTATGTGTTGGTCTGTGACCAGTTAAGCTTCTGAAGCAGACCTGCTGCTCTTTAAGCTGTTAACTTCCGGGTGTTGTTCATCTTGCGGAAAGTTGTTGTTGGAAAATTGCTTGTATTGGTGTGAGTCTGTGTCTGTTGATTGTTGTAGAGTGTCGTTTGATGTTGTTCATCTTGCGGAAAGGTGTTGTTGGAAAATTGCTTGTATTGGTGTGAGTCTGTGTGCGTATGTGTCTGTTGATTGTTGTAGAGTGTCTCGGATTAGTTCTTGTATCTTGGGGTTTGTCTGTGAAGCTCTTTTGAGGTAATTTGAGTTTAGTCTTGTTAGTTCATCTTGAATCGTCTTCATCCTGGTGATTTTATGTACTTCCTCTGTTGGTGTTAGTATTGGTAGATGGTAGGCTATTTTTAGTGCTCTGTTCTGCAATCTTTGTAAGTGACTTGTTGATGCGTTTGCCCACGAAGGTGATGCGTATGTGAATCCTGGTAGAATTGTTGATTGGTACAAAAACTTTAAGACTTTGGATTTGATGCCTTTGGCTCGTAGTACTAGTAGAAAATTGATTTTCCTTGTCGATTTGTCTTCAATTCTTTGTAGATAGTCTTTCCATGTCAGGTTGTTATTTAGGGTAACTCCAAGAAATTTAGTGGTTGTTGATGGTTCGATCTCTTCGTTCTGTAGCATTAATTTGCAGTCATTCTTCTTGCGTCTTGTAAAAAGTACAAAGTTTGTCTTCTCCGGGTTCACGTCTATCTTCCATTTCTGGCACCATGCTTCAAGTTTGTTTAGGCCACCTTGTAGTCTGTGTGTTGCATTCTTGCTTGTGTTTGAACTTGTGTAAATTGCTATGTCGTCGGCATATTGTGATATTGTTGTTAGACCTGCTTCTGGTTTGCTTACATAGATGTTGAAAAGGATTGGACTGATTACACTTCCTTGTGGTACTCCTGCACTGGGTGTGAAACTTTCGGCTTTGGCTTGGTGGTATACTACTGTTAACTGTCGGTCTGTCAGAAAACTCTTGGTCCATTTTACAATCCACTTCGGACAGTTGATCTCTAGTAGTCTGTAGTATAAGCCTTCGTGCCAGACAGAGTCAAAGGCTCGTTGCACGTCTAGAAATGCTGCTGCAACGGGTTGCTTCCAGTTATTCTCTTTATAGATTGTCTCTGTTAGACAGAGTAAATTGTCGGTGGTGCATCGTTTGCTTCGGTATGCACTTTGAAAGTGTCCGAAGATGTCGTGATCTTCGCAGTGTACTAGTAGCTGCTCTTTGACAAAACATTCGCAGATCTTCCCGATACAGCTTGTAAGTGAGAGTGGTCTATAGTTTTTGGGATCTTTGTGGTCTTTCTCGGGTTTTGGTAACATTGATACTGTCGCTTGTTTCCAGCCTAAAGGAACGTAGCCACTTCTCAGCGATTGTACTATGATTTGTCTTAGTACTTCTAGTACGTTGATGGGCAGGTTTTTCATCGCTTTGTAGCTAACTTTGTCTTGTCCTGGGGCAGTGTTTTTTCTGTGATTGATCACGTCTTTGAGTTGCTTTAAGCTAATTTCTGTTTGTGCAAAACCTGTCTGTTCCAGTTGAAAGTCTTGGATTTTCGCCTGTGACACCTTGTCATGTACTTTCTGTTCATGCGTTAGAGCTGCCTGAGAGTTTGTTATATTTGTCGTCATGTTTGCTTTGAGCATCTTAGCGAAGTGGTTCGCAGCGTCTTGATTTGTCATTTTCAGTTTACTCGTTCGTTTAGGTCTTGTGCCTGTGAGCTTTTTTACTGCTTTCCAGAAATTCTGTTGTGTTGGTCCTTTGTTCATTTCACTGAGTAGTTTGAGTTGGTTTTCTTCTTCTACTGTCTGTTTTAGCTGTCTGATGTCCTTCTTTGTTTTGTTTAGCTTTGTACACAGGTCTTTGTAGTCATTGGTGTCGTGTTGGTCATATCGTCTCATCTTTTGTTTTTGTCGTTCAAGTTTGTGTTTGTTTCTGACTAGTTCGACTAGTTGTGGGTTCGTGAATTGGGGCTTGTGTTCTTTGAGGCTGCCTTGGTAGCATTTGTCAATGTGTTTGGCTATCTGGTCAGCTTCTCGAGCTAGACCTTCGTCAGTTTTGATTGAGTCAGGGTTGAACTTGTAGTTCGTTACAGTACCTCTGAATTTTCGCCAGTTTGGTTTTGTGCATGTTCTCTTTGGAACAGTTAGTTCGTACTCTGCAATTGTCATGTAGTGATCGCTTGGTGTTGTGTCCGACACTTCAAAGTTCGTGCATAAGCAAGCCATTTTTGGTGATGCAAAGTGTAAGTCTAGGACTGAGTCACTTTGGTGTGTTGGTTCGGAACCGTTCAAGATGAAGTAGTTGTGCATGAGAGCGTCTACAACTCTTCCGTTGCTGTTGGTTGCTCTTGCTTTTGGGTTGACAGATTTGATCTGTGCGTTGAAGTCTCCAACGATGATGTGCTTTGGATCTTTTCCATTGAAAGTCACGTTCTCTATCTCTGCGTTTGGGCTAAGGTAAACACTTGTTACAGTGATACCCATTGTGTTGATCTTGATCGTCTCGCATACTTTTCTTCGTTCTCTGTGGTTTTGGTTTATGTGCTGTGCTTGTTCCAGTACTTGGTACTGTATGTTGTCTCTGATGTAAATTGCCGAGCCTGTGACACTGTCACAGATTGCCGCTGCAAGGTTAAAGTTTTGTAGTTTTGGTGGATGTTTGGTTTTTGTTTCGTTGAAGCAGACTATAGTGATGTTGTGTTTCGCTAGAAGATCTTGGATCTCCAGTTTGTGCTTGTTTATACTTCTGCAGTTGAGTTGTGCTATCTTGAGTCTATTCATTTTGGTTTGTTGTTGTTGTTTTGATTTCGGGAGCTACTATGTCTGCTGCTGCTTGCTTCTCTGTGTGTTTTTGTATTTTGTTTTGCTTTTATGTTTGATGTTAACAGCTCAGTGAAATCTATTTTCTCGAATTGAGTTCTAACTGCATTGCTGACTGTTTCGTTAATTTTCTCACATGATTTAGCGACAGCTTTGGTGATTGCATCGGTTATCTTTTCGTCCATGGCTTTTTGCACTGCTTTTTCGACTTGATCGGCTATTGTAGTTTCAACAGTTTCTTTAATGTACTGCTGTATGTCCTCTTTGCTCATGGTTGGTTGTGGTTTGACTGCTTGAGCGTAGTTGTTTTGCACAGTTCGTTGCAGATGTTTGACTGCTTGAGCGTAGTTTTGCACTTTTGGTTGTGCTTTTTGGGCTTCGACTTGAGCTGTCTTGTAAACCGGGCATCCTTTGTACTGCGCCGGGTGTTCGCCTCTGCAGTTGATGCATTGAACTTGCTGCTTTGGAGTTTTGCAGTCTCTGACTGCATGGTTGTCGCCACATCTGAGGCATCGTTGCTGGTTCGGACAGTTTATGGCCATATGGCCGAAATTTTGGCATTTGTAACACTGTGTTACTCGTGGTTCTGTTTTGGATGCTTCGCATCGTTTTCGTTCGTTGCAGATGTAGACCCCAATGTCGATTGCCTTTCTGCAGGCTAGGTCATCATCTGTGAAAACTCTGATGAGTTGTGTTGGCTTGTCTAGGCTTCTGCTTTGGATTCGGAAGAGCTTTGCTACCTTGATGTTGTTGATCTCCTCAAGTTCAGATTGGATGTCAGCTTCGCTGAGTTGTTCACTGACTCTTGAGATAACAAAGCTGGAAGTTTGTTTCTTGTTGGGTTGATTTGTCTTGTGTTGTCTGCCTCCGATTTTTACTCCCGTGTCGGGAAACAGGTTTTCGAGGTTGTCGAGTTGTAGAAGCAGCAAAAAGCGAAGCTAACTTAAAAAACTGTGTTCAAATCGAGCTCGAAGAATGCTCAATTCTGATTGGCTCTCAGCTCCAAGCTTATTTTGGCTTCAATTTTTAATTTCTACGTCACTTTGAGGCTATTTAGGATTGCTAGGATGTCTCAGCTTACTGTTTGTATTCCAGTTAAGCTTGCTGGGCTTGATAGAAGATAGAACTAGTAGATTGGTGGCCTTTAAAAGGCCGGTTTGGTGTTGAAGCTTGAAAGCTAGCAACTGGTTGAGGTAGAAGCTCTTTACTTCTTGTCAGACTTGGGCTGAGACGAAGACTGCTTCTTGGGTAGGAGCACAGCCTGGATGTTTGGCAGCACACCGCCCTGAGCAATGGTCACTCCGTGGAGCAGCTTGTTCAACTCTTCGTCGTTCCTGATGGCCAACTGCAAGTGTCTGGGGATGATCCTGGACTTCTTGTTGTCTTTGGCAGCGTTGCCAGCCAGCTCAAGGATCTCAGCAGTCAAGTACTCGAGCACAGCAGCAAGGTAGACTGGGGCTCCAGCACCAACTCGCTCAGCGTAGTTGCCCTTGCGGATGAATCGGTGGATTCTTCCAACAGGGAACTGCAGTCCAGCTCGGCTTGATCGGGTCTTGGCCTTGGCTCCAACTTTGCCGCTCTTCGATTTTCCTCCTTTGCCTGACATCGTGTTGTAGTTGTAGCTGTTGTGGTAGAAGTTGTAGATTGACGATTGACTTTACCCGCAATTTGGCTCCCTGTCTTAGGGTAGTAAGTTCAAATCGGCCACCAAGATGGGAGAGCCAATCAGAATCCAGCTAGCATTTTAAGTTATTTTAGATATGCTGAAAGCTCTACACTAACTAGCTGAGCTTGTTAAGAGCTCTAGCAGAGCTCGTTAGAGCTCTAGTAGAGCTTGACTTAAGAACTGAGATAGTTGGTGGCCTTTAAAAAGGCCGGTTTGGTGCTGCAGCTAGGAGAGCAGCTGGCTAAGAAGCTTCTTAACCTCCGAATCCGTACAAGGTCTTGCCTTGTCTCTTGAGGGCGTAGACGATGTCCATGGCTACAACGGTCTTCCTCTTGGCGTGCTCGGTGTAGGTTACAGCATCCCTGATCACGCTATCCAAGTAGTTCTTGAGCACTCCTCGGGTCTCTTCGTAGATCAGTCCACTGATACGCTTGACACCTCCTCGTCGAGCAAGACGTCTGATGGCTGGCTTGGTGATGCCTTGGATGTTATCTCTTAAGATCTTTCGGTGCCTCTTTGCTCCTCCTTTGCCAAGTCCTTTTCCTCCCTTTCCTCGTCCAGACATGGTTGTTGCAGTTGTAGTTGTTGTAGAAATTGAAGTAGAAGTTGGGTTTGAGATTGGCAAAAATCGCTAGGTATCTATCAATTTCCGACCGACTTCTCTGCTCTCTGATTGGCCCTCATACCAACAGCCAATGAGAGAGCAGATAATAAAAAGTAAAAAAAGTTAGGCACGTAAAGGAGCAATTGAAAAAAAAATTTTGAGCTCCCACAAGAACTTCTACCTCAAACTGGTCAGTCCACAGAGCTTATCAGAGCTATGTGATTTAAATCAAGCTCGTAGGAGCTCGCTTGAGGTCTGTGAGATAGCTTGCCGAGCTCTGAGAGCTCGAACTTGAAAATAGTTAGGCTACGTACGGGAGCAATTGAAAAATTTTGAGCTCACACAAGGTGTACTAGCTTAAACTGGTCAGTCCACAGAGCTTATTCGAGCTCTGTGATTTAAATCAAGCTCATACAAGCTTGCCTGAGCTCTATGAGGTAGCTTGCCAAGCTCTGAGAGCTCGAAGCTCAAAAAAGTTAGGCTACGTACGGGAGCAATTGAACAGCTAGCTCGAGCTCATTTTCCAGCTGCGTCACCCCAATGAGGGGGAAGCAGAGCTCAACCTATACCAGCTTGAGCTTGCTCTGGTCGAAGTTAGCTTGAGCTAAGCTCACTGTGAAGAAATATAGAACTGATAGTTGGGTGGCCTTTAAAAAGGCCGGTTTGGTTGGTGTGGAGTACACCTAGAGCTTAAGCTCGCTCTCCTCGGATTCGTCGAGCCAACTGGATGTCCTTGGGCATGATCGTGACTCTCTTGGCGTGGATCGCGCACAAGTTGGTGTCCTCGAACAGGCTGACCAAGTAGCTCTCGCTGGCTTCCTGCAGAGCCATGATTGCAGTGCTCTGGAACCGCAAGTCAGTCTTGAAGTCCTGGGCGATTTCTCTGACCAGTCGCTGGAAGGGCAGCTTTCGGATCAACAGCTCAGTGGACTTCTGGTATCTCCTGATCTCCCTCAGGGCAACGGTTCCTGGTCTGTATCGGTGAGGCTTCTTCACACCGCCGGTGGAAGGTGCGCTCTTTCTTGCAGCCTTGGTAGCCAGTTGCTTCCTGGGTGCCTTTCCTCCGGTACTCTTTCGTGCAGTCTGCTTCGTTCGGGCCATTCTTCGTCAGTTGAGTGTAGCTGAGTTGTAGATGTAGAAGTAGATTTTGGGTGTTGAATTTTGGACAAATCCGTGAGGTAACCAAGATATTCAGATCTCCAGAAGCCTTGAGAGCGCTCGACGTATAAAAAAATAGTTAGGCACGTAAAAGAGCAATAGAAGGAGAGCTCTGGTGAGTCGTTACTTATATATATTAAGGAGCATTTTCAACTATATATAGTAAAGTATGTGAAGTGCAGACTATTTATACTTGGATTGGAGGTTACCCGCCAAAAGCGGCATAGGTGATTGGCCCGTGTCTGAGTGATAGCGGAAGCTCAAACTAAGCTCGAATCTGATTGGCTGAGAAGTGAAAACTTGAAAATTTGGTGTTTCTGCCTCTAGAATTGACCCAAAGCTAACTTCAGCCAGCTAAAAGCTCACTTCAGCTTAAACTAGCTGAATTGGACTTGTTAGCTAGCTTTGTAAGCCTAAACTTAGCTATTTCGAGCTGTAAGTTGGAGAGCAAAATGAAGCTCAAATCTGATTGGCTGAGACGTGAAAGCTTAAAATTTAGCAGTTTTTTAGCTCTAAAGTTGGTCTGGAGCTGATTTAAGCAAGTTACAAGCTCAGTTGAGCTTAGTAGCTCAAATTAGACGCTCAAAGCTAGCTGTTGAGAGCTCGAAATTGCATACAAGCCAATTTGAGCTTGCTAGCTAGAGTACAAAGAGAACTATGCTTTTTGGTGGCCTTTAAAAAGGCCGGTTTGGTGTTGCTCAGAGCAACTAGTTGTAGAAGCTGATCGTCTACTTGGAGCTGGTGTACTTGGTGACGGCCTTGGTTCCCTCACTGACAGCATGCTTGGCCAGCTCTCCGGGCAACAGCAGTCTGACTGCGGTTTGGATCTCCCGGCTAGAGATGGTTGATCGCTTGTTGTAGTGGGCCAGTTTTGAAGCTTCACCGGCGATTCTCTCGAAGATGTCGTTCACGAAGCTGTTCATGATCGACATAGCCTTGGATGAGATGCCGGTGTCAGGGTGGACCTGCTTCAGCACCTTGTAGATGTAGAGAGAGTAGGTCTCTCGCCTCTTCTTCTTCTTTTTCTTGTCTCCAGTGGGCTTCTTCTGGGCTTTGCCTGCCTTCTTGACTGCCTTTCCGCTGACTTTGGGTGCCATTGTAGAGTTGTAGTTGTGGTGTTGTCGAGTTGTAGAAGCAGTGTAAGTATGTGTTGGTCTGTGACCAGTTAAGCTTCTGAAGCAGACCTGCTGCTCTTTAAGCTGTTAACTTCCGGGTGTTGTTCATCTTGCGGAAAGTTGTTGTTGGAAAATTGCTTGTATTGGTGTGAGTCTGTGTCTGTTGATTGTTGTAGAGTGTCGTTTGATGTTGTTCATCTTGCGGAAAGGTGTTGTTGGAAAATTGCTTGTATTGGTGTGAGTCTGTGTGCGTATGTGTCTGTTGATTGTTGTAGAGTGTCTCGGATTAGTTCTTGTATCTTGGGGTTTGTCTGTGAAGCTCTTTTGAGGTAATTTGAGTTTAGTCTTGTTAGTTCATCTTGAATCGTCTTCATCCTGGTGATTTTATGTACTTCCTCTGTTGGTGTTAGTATTGGTAGATGGTAGGCTATTTTTAGTGCTCTGTTCTGCAATCTTTGTAAGTGACTTGTTGATGCGTTTGCCCACGAAGGTGATGCGTATGTGAATCCTGGTAGAATTGTTGATTGGTACAAAAACTTTAAGACTTTGGATTTGATGCCTTTGGCTCGTAGTACTAGTAGAAAATTGATTTTCCTTGTCGATTTGTCTTCAATTCTTTGTAGATAGTCTTTCCATGTCAGGTTGTTATTTAGGGTAACTCCAAGAAATTTAGTGGTTGTTGATGGTTCGATCTCTTCGTTCTGTAGCATTAATTTGCAGTCATTCTTCTTGCGTCTTGTAAAAAGTACAAAGTTTGTCTTCTCCGGGTTCACGTCTATCTTCCATTTCTGGCACCATGCTTCAAGTTTGTTTAGGCCACCTTGTAGTCTGTGTGTTGCATTCTTGCTTGTGTTTGAACTTGTGTAAATTGCTATGTCGTCGGCATATTGTGATATTGTTGTTAGACCTGCTTCTGGTTTGCTTACATAGATGTTGAAAAGGATTGGACTGATTACACTTCCTTGTGGTACTCCTGCACTGGGTGTGAAACTTTCGGCTTTGGCTTGGTGGTATACTACTGTTAACTGTCGGTCTGTCAGAAAACTCTTGGTCCATTTTACAATCCACTTCGGACAGTTGATCTCTAGTAGTCTGTAGTATAAGCCTTCGTGCCAGACAGAGTCAAAGGCTCGTTGCACGTCTAGAAATGCTGCTGCAACGGGTTGCTTCCAGTTATTCTCTTTATAGATTGTCTCTGTTAGACAGAGTAAATTGTCGGTGGTGCATCGTTTGCTTCGGTATGCACTTTGAAAGTGTCCGAAGATGTCGTGATCTTCGCAGTGTACTAGTAGCTGCTCTTTGACAAAACATTCGCAGATCTTCCCGATACAGCTTGTAAGTGAGAGTGGTCTATAGTTTTTGGGATCTTTGTGGTCTTTCTCGGGTTTTGGTAACATTGATACTGTCGCTTGTTTCCAGCCTAAAGGAACGTAGCCACTTCTCAGCGATTGTACTATGATTTGTCTTAGTACTTCTAGTACGTTGATGGGCAGGTTTTTCATCGCTTTGTAGCTAACTTTGTCTTGTCCTGGGGCAGTGTTTTTTCTGTGATTGATCACGTCTTTGAGTTGCTTTAAGCTAATTTCTGTTTGTGCAAAACCTGTCTGTTCCAGTTGAAAGTCTTGGATTTTCGCCTGTGACACCTTGTCATGTACTTCCTGTTCATGCGTTAGAGCTGCCTGAGAGTTTGTTATATTTGTCGTCATGTTTGCTTTGAGCATCTTAGCGAAGTGGTTCGCAGCGTCTTGATTTGTCATTTTCAGTTTACTCGTTCGTTTAGGTCTTGTGCCTGTGAGCTTTTTTACTGCTTTCCAGAAATTCTGTTGTGTTGGTCCTTTGTTCATTTCACTGAGTAGTTTGAGTTGGTTTTCTTCTTCTACTGTCTGTTTTAGCTGTCTGATGTCTTTCTTTGTTTTGTTTAGCTTTGTACACAGGTCTTTGTAGTCATTGGTGTCGTGTTGGTCATATCGTCTCATCTTTTGTTTTTGTCGTTCAAGTTTGTGTTTGTTTCTGACTAGTTCGACTAGTTGTGGGTTCGTGAATTGGGGCTTGTGTTCTTTGAG